ACCCTTCACAATGGAGTAGCTCCTCTATGTAATCCAAAACAGGAAAAAGGGCACAGCCCCAGGATTTGACCTAACTTCTTACCAAATAATTAAAAATCTCCCGCTAAAACTACTCCAGGCACTACTCAAACTATACAATCTGATCTACCTAAACGGACAGGTTCCTACTCCCTGGAAACAGGCCCAAGTCATACCAATCCCTAAACCTAATAAACCAGCTAATCAAGCTAACTCATATAGACCAATATCCCTAACTTCAAACTTATGCAAAGTAATGGAATCAATGGCTAAAAATAGATTACAACATTACCTAACCCAAAATAACATCAACTATTGAACTGCATGGCAAGTATTTATAAAACGACCGGGGGAGGAAATATTCTGGGGGGAGATTTTATTTCGAGAGGGGCGGAACTGTACCGGTATAAATTCGCCGGGGGGGAGATTTTATTCTGGGGGCGAATATATTTCTTGACACCGGTCGTAAGTTCATTGTTTGACTGAGCACACTTGTGTCGGGTTGCGATATTTTCTTCTCTTTGTTGGCAGCCTGCCACCGGCCTGAATTTTGAGAATGGTCTCAGCATGGGACTGTTAATTACTTCTTAATGATGTCTACAAGCTTACAAACTTGTAGATGTTGGGGCGGTTAGGACCAAACTTTTTCAGCTTAGAGTGTTAGTGGTTCTGGAACCCATAGTGTCAAACAGGTTCTGCACAATACGTCCATCAGATTCTACTGTTCAGCAACATTGTCACTGAATTTCAGAACTTTGGCATGATATTATAATCAAGGATTTCGAAGGTGAACGAGGGGAAAGGCAGACGCACGTGGATTTACTCTCAGGTTATTATTGGCTGGAGTTCACATTTTGGGGCATTTCATATACTAATTAAACAGAATTCACCTGCACATGTCCACTTTAGTGATACAGGCTGTAACCAAAAATGCAATGAGCCGTAGCTCTAAATCCCTTACAACAACGGTAACAACAACCAAGGTTAGGACACAGTAAGGTTAAACCGTGTCCAACAGACAATTTCAGGTGGCTAACGCCATATCTCCCATCAAGTCAGCTCTGTTTTTAAGCGCATAATTATGTTTTTACATATTGAAATAAAAGGAATTTAAAAAATCATAATTAACAAACCTACACATTACCAAATACATAACTTTATAACCCTTTCTAGACATCGTTCCAATTAACCTGGATCATTCAACTCGCTCGCGAAGGTCGTATGCGACTTTAAAGTGAATACGTCTACAGTGTACAAGTAACTTTTAACTGTATCATATATACTCATGATAAGCAATTATTTTCGTTCCTAATTCGAATGAGCACATTCTGAGGCTAAATCTGCAAAAGGACAGATAGAATATTTTTTTGTACAATGCAAACGGTACAAACGTAGCGGCTGATAATAGAGACAATGATTTAATAATCTGCAATATATCATTTGTTCTCGTTCAATCTATTGTACATATTGAAGTGATTGTAAAGTTTCAAGGAGTACTAAAATGTTGTTGTATTATGAATGTATTTAGAATATGAATAGCGAAAAACAGTCACCATATCGGATGTACATGTATAACTTGTCTTCCAACACCACGCTTGTGCCGAGGCCCATGGTCATAAAACTGATCGGTCCCATAAAAGGAGCAAATAGTTTCGCAGATACTACTTGCTAAGGTTCACTCCCAATTATCAGACGATCTAATCATCAGTCAGACCAGTCAAGTGTGACCAGCGTACCTGCCTGGTTTTACCTCCTAATTACTGAGCTGCCCAATACTGTCATACTGTGGGCAGAGTAAGCGGCCTTGTTGAGTGATACAGACTAACCAGATTATGATTGTGTTTGTAAGTTGCGTTTAATCTGTGTGGGGTTGCAGTTGTTTTATTAGGCAAGACAAGGGGTAGTTTTTTCAATGAAACCTTTTAGCCATTGAGTTTGTTTTGCATTCATTTCATTAAATACATTGTTAGGTAGAATAATAACACGTTATATGGATTAAACATCTCCCTAATCTGAGTATAATCTCACATGTACTCTAAGTACCATACTATATTACTTTGCGGAGACACTGAGTATAATTTTTGAGTTGGCATTGTATGCTGTCTGAATGACTTTACACAAATCCCTGCATTCAATGGACCCGTGAAGATCTTCAACAACCCATTCTTGGCGTAAAAGAGCGACAGCGCTTGTCGTAAGAGGCGACTACCGGGATCGGGTGGTCAGGCTCGCTGACTTGGTTTGATGCATGTCATCGTATCCCAATTGCGTGGATCGATGCACATGATGTCAATCACTGGATTGTCTGGTCCAGACTTGATTATTTACAGACCGCCGTCATACAGCTGAAATATTGCTAAGTGCGGCGTTATACAACTAACAAACAAACAAAACTTTGAGGAATTCACAACAATCACTATGACGAGGTATGCATATCTTGCAATCAACCTGAATCCAGGTACTGGAATGTCAAACCCGGGTTTGGTTAAAACAAGAATTGCAGTTAGATCCGCTATATGCTGTAGATCTCCTGTAGTCAAGAGATGCAACAGCGAGGCAGAACTATGTCAATTTATGAGGGACAGACAGCTACTCGAACATATATAAACATAGCAGCCAAAGATAAAAATGAAATCATATCATGTACAAAAAAATAGAAATCATGTCACCACAAAAACAGAAAGTGTATGAGTACTAAAACTTGCAATAGGTATGCGTACCCTACGTACACACATGAGGCCCATTCGACAGTCTGCAACACACGAATAACTGTCAAACAAGTTTGGGTACCCCTTCTGTTCAGGTAAGTTATTTAGTTCAATAATTTTGTATTAAAATCCTTTTCAATTTGTTTTCACCATTTTCCCTATTCCATGCATGTTTATGTTGCTACATCGTATTGCTCATGTTTCCAAGTATTGTAAACACATTAATGTTTCTCCTTCTTAATCTAACGTTATAACATTTCAGGTCATTGCCATCATCTAATACACAAGAGATGATACCAAGACATATTTTATTCGGTTTTATGGTCTATGCGGTCTTACAATTGATTTTATTAGTCTTTAAATCTATGTCTAGTAAATATTTTCACAAACAGGGCTGTTAGCTGATATAAGGAATGTAACATCCAGTTGAGGACTAAATACGACGTACGTTAGTCTGGTAACGACGTTTCTACAATCAATATTTTGAATACGCCGTTAATACGCCAGTTGTGACAGGGATGATGGTATGGTAGCTGTAGCAGACATATTGACAGCCGTTGTTACGTAAGTCACTAGGTTATTAGTACGGCATTGGCCTTGTTGATTGTTACAATACTTTGAGGATTTCTGTGGCCAGTGGCGGACGTAATTCAAACTCCTTCCACACTGACATCGCACGAAATATATTTGTGTACCGATTACATAACTCTAACTGACAGAGTAGGGTGGTAGTTCACGCGAAACGGACGACACTGTGTAAATTGAGCGGCTACTTTGATATCGCCTCACAACCTACTTTTAATGAATGACCCATTAAACGATGATACACATCAGGATCGCAGAGAAAATACAAGATTCGTTCTCGTTGAATATATATATCAAGGCACAAATTCATCTTTCATAAACTTTTTGTGTCTTTGTGCTTAATATATCCACATATCAACGAAAATATGTAATACATGTATCCACAAAAATATACATGTACAGGCTAGGTATTTGAAACATAATTCCTACTGGTCAGTTCGACACCGCTTGTAATTAAATAATTATTTCGAGATTTCGTTAGAATGTAAGATATTCAGCTAAACGTTATGCAATAAAAGACGAATAGTTCCTTTCCATTAAAATACGCGCACGCGTACCTGTCACGTAATTGCACAGTGTGATGTATCAACGGGACATAAAATGGGAAATGAAATAGAAACTAACTAAAATTTTATGTTGTGGAAAATAACTCCAATGAATTGGAGTACACGCACATGAATTCGTATGATAAACTGTCAAAACATTTTGAGAGGTAAGGCCGGGTTCAATAAAGATCAATAGTTGAATTAAGTTAAAATGAGTTAAATTTTGTGTCATGATACTTGAATGAATACATTTAATGTATTTGCGAAACAAAAACATGAGTTTTGAGTAAAGGAACATATTCTCGCCCATGGGCCTGGCCATGGGCCAAACCTTTTTCTCGCCCATGGGCGAAATATTTCAATATCGCTATAAAATAGTTGAATTAAGTTAAAATGAGTTACATTTTGTGTCATAATGCTTGAATAAATACACTTGATGTATTTGCGAAACAAAAACCTGAGTTTTAAGTAAAGGAACATATTCTCGCCCATGGGCCAAACCTTTTTCTCGCCCATGGGCGAAATATTTCAATATCGCTATAAAATAGTTGAATTAAGTTAAAATGAGTTACATTTTGTGTCTTAATGCTTGAATAAATACACTTGATGTATTTGCGAAACAAAAACCTGAGTTTTAAGTAAAGGAACATATTCTCGCCCATGGGCCAGACTTCGCCCATGGGCGACATAGTCGAAATATTGAGTTTTTGAACAATTTTTTTTAAAATTTTTCTTCCTTGGTATGTTCCTATGAAAACAGCATCTTTAATTTTGTAAATACCTTTAACCGAGACTGGGCAAAGACCGTAGAGTTTCTGGAATTTTGGGTTTCCAGAATTAAAATGGGACGTGTTATGTTAAGTTTTAAGACAATGAAAGTGACGAATGCCAATATTGATATATATTTCCTACATTGTACATATACGTACGTGACATTGTAAATTAAGGTAACTGACATTTTACATATATTTATAAATAAGTGACATTGTACATACACGTATATATAAGTGACATTGTGTATATATTGGTATGTGACATTGACAACTTGTCCCAGTATGCAATGTATAGTTACCGACAACGAATCGTGTGAACTATGAATTTGACGTTCATATCTGAGTGAAGTACAGCTAGGTGTCCCACTTACCTCTCTCCCAACATTGGCTGCATCTTCTCCTGGGTCCATTCGCCGCTCAGACTTCCAACCACAGCAATCCCATTGGGTTTTGTGATTTCCCAAACACGCATCAACCAAGCTGCAATATGTGCATGCCAAATTACATAGGACAAGTAACGTACTTGCTTGGATTGATGAGATTATGCATCGTTGGAATGGTGAATTATGAACAATGTATACATACTAAAATGTTCGCTAAAGCACGACTTATCATGGACGCCAGACAACACACATTGATGATCGTGCTAAATACGTCGGGTCCACTTACACGGAATGGTATATGGTATGGAATCCTGAAAAGGACATTGCCGCGTAGTACGCATTGTCGCCTTACAAAAAACAAGCAAAAAGTGTCACAATTAACCAAAGCGCAACAACGCGACATTTTGGCCATTTGTTGCATTGTCGCGTTTCGAATTTATTTTTTTTACCAAAGGGCGAAAATGCGACATTTTTCAAGGTCAAAATATGTCTCATTGTCGCATGGTCGGCCCATCACATATGTGTAAAATATCCGTTAAAATGCGCGACTGTGAGTTAAAGGGTCGTCTGTTATCTGAAGTTTTATGTATTAACTCCGATTAAGTAAGTATGTATGATTCAAATATAGACCTCGCAAAAACATTATTGTGAAGCTCGCAAGTCAGTGAGTATTGTTTAACGACGCTCTGAACAGAATTTAAGTTATGGCGTGACAGCTTGATGTGGGAGGAAAGCCAGAAGTGAGGTAGGTCCAAAACAAAAAAAACATAATCAAGACGAACCTGGAATTCGATCGTAGGGTTATAGCTCGCCTGGGAGCGAGTGAGGGAGGGAGTTTGGTTTGCTGATCAACTCAACTTGAGATGTATTCGAAGGGAGAGGTGGTGACTTCGGGACCCATTTCTATTAGAAGAGGAGTATTTCAGGGCGATTCTTTTAGCCCTTTGCTTTTCTGTTTGTCACTGAATCCTTTAAGCTTTTTGCTCAGCAAAGAGGAAGGTTATCATCCGGGACCTCCTCATCACAAATACCCAAAACCCCTTAGTCGCCCCCTTTACATGGATGACCTTGAAATTATTGCCAATGAAGGAGCCACACTCAAAAACCAGTCCTTTTCTAAATGATATCTGCATGTCCTTTGGGGTGTTATTGACCAACTCCTGGAAGGTCAGTCCTACACGTACTTACGGATGCAGATTGGGGACAAACTCCAGCATGCCCATATCAAGGACAAACTGCCGACAGAGTACAAATGTAGACTTCTGGAGTTCAGAGATCAGAGATGAACGCTCGCAATAAAATTAAAGCCACAAATACTTATGTTGTACGGTACAACTTGTACCCGTCCTTTCCTATTCTTTTGGTGTTGTTGATTGGACGAAACAAGAAATCCAGGGTATTGACATCAAAATGTAGATTATGTAATGAATTAATGTGACTGTCCAACACATTATCATTGGATGCCCAGCTTTGGCACAAACACAGTATCTTAAGCGACATGGTGGAGTGGGTCGATCATTTTATTACCATCTTCGCCATGCTTGTGGTTTTTACGCAAAGGTCCATCCATGGTACAACCCAGAATATGTAGAGGGCCTCATGGAAAATGATGAATGCAATATTGTTTGGAATAGGCCCCTTTACAGCCTCAGACATATCCAGGCCAACAAACCTGATCTTGTCCTTTTTGAAAAATCCCATGAAATCATTTACATCATAGAATTTTCTGTCCCATTTGAAACTAATGTGTTTGACAAGATTTAGGAAAAACATGGCAAATATGCAGACCTCGCTTTCGAAATGTCACGCTTGCATCCCAAGTCCCAAGTTGTCCGACTCCCTATTGTTCTCGGTGCCTTAGGTTTGGTACTTCCCAATCTGTTGACTGACAATGGGAGAGAACCCGGGTTTGCTACCAGGAATATAGCCCTTCTGACAAATTTGGGTTATGCAGAAGGCTGCAGTGTTTGGGAGTCTTCACATTCTCCGAAAAGTTCTGGGTGGGTTTGACTAATCAGCGCTTCCTGGGAGAAGTCCCATTCGTTGTCTGGGCTGCGTGTAGAGGGAGCAAAGGCCCTGAGCTGATGATGAGCCTAACCAGATTGACTGTCCCAGGATCACCCAATAATAATAATAATAATAATAATGAAATAATCCTTCTGTATGACACTATTTCCCATGCTGAATATCATGCTGAAAGTGCATTATCCCGGTCATTACCCCTCATCTCTAAGGGGAGTATACAACCCAAGCTGCCGCTGAGGTGCTCAAACGTTAACAGACACATTGCCAAATCACCCCACCCGGTATCCATTCACTGCTAAATGAACAGTGGCATATTTCGAGCAAAGTCACTTGCCCAAGGAGTCAGCTTGATATGGGAGGAAATTCCTAAGTGATGTATGTGTATGGTACTGGGATTCGAACCCACTGTCATTGTTTTCTGGTACGTCTAGGAAACGCAACTCTGCATAGCAATTTGCGCCGTCTAAAACGACAGGGCCAACCGTGTGCCCGTGCCCCCTCGAGACTGGAATTAAGTTAAATAGAAATGCAAAGTGTTTGTGTCTTGCTGTGAAAACACTTTTGTTAATGAAACCGACACAGACAATAACAGTATATGAACTAATTTCTAAAGTAACGATGATAGATGTGTTTTAATTTTGAGAAGAGCAACCCACATGCCATTGCTACTTTGTTTTCAGAACCATTGGAGTAAATAAAAGACCACTTGAGTATTACCATTTCGGCGCATGCGTAGATTAATTCACTTATTACACATAGGCACCATTAATCGAACAGGGCGACAATGCGACATTATCAATATGTCCCGTTGTCGCGCATTTTAACGCCTTTCTTACACATTTTTGATGAGGCGACAATGCGACATATTTTTACCATAAAAATATCGCGTTGTCACATTTGTCGCCCTTTGGTGAAATAAATAAAGATTATTCAAAGCGCGACAATGCGACAAATGGCCAAAATGTCGCTTTGTCGCATTTTCGCGCTTTGATCAATTTTGCTTTTTTTTTGTTAGGGCGACAATGCAACAACGCGACAATGTCCCTTCTAGGATTCAATAGAATGGCGACCTTAAGCACACCAGTATTGCAAGCCTTAAGACTTAGGCAATCTTGTACCTGTTACATTGTAAAAACTCGACTTCACGAATATAGACATGTCCCCTCTGTACATAGCTTTACTAACACTGGTGCACGTCCTATTTCACGTTTGTGTGTTATACTCAAATTAACATCCTCGAAGTGATATATAACTTGATAATAACGACGCCAAGCCATGAAAAAATCATAAAATTGAATCTAGTTTCAGTTGGTTTAGAGAATGTACTACACGCGGGAATTACTTACCTTTAGGATTCTGGACTCGGTCCAAATGCGTCACGAGGACTAGATCATGACTGTCCACCTCATTTGATATCCACGTCAACTGATAATGTAAACATTACCTCTGTATTATATTTCTCCATAACCACGGATCCATTATGTCAGTGTCCTATTTGTTTTATCATAAATATAACCCTACACTTCGAAACGTGCACTTTGTTCTAAACTGCCAATGGCTACCGTCAAGTAAGCTGATCTACTATAGGACCGTTCCACTAAAAGGTAATAATATGTACAGTAACAACAAGTACATGACTCTCATCCTAGGCAGCACTGAAAACGTACCATGAGGTGGTTTCAGTACACATTATGAATGTAGACATTGTGTTTGTTTGTTGTTCATATTCCAGCTATATGTCGGCGGCCTCTATAAAATCGAGACTGGACCAGACAATCCTGTGATTGACATCACGAGCATCGATCTACGCAATTTTGATACGACGAGCGTTATGGCAACGTTAATGATACGGAAGAATTGGTTTACCCATTGGATTTATGAAGCGTTACTTAATTATGTTAATTTTACAAAACGAAAAGATTTGACAGGTTTAAGTCAACTGTCATACTCGTACCTGTTTAAATGTGATCCTCTCGGGATTGGCATCATAATCACCTAAATTTATCTCAGAGGCAGAATTGTTGTTTGGGGCTGAAAATTTCAAATTACGCTCTTCTTTCAATCTGAGAGACGCGTCGACATACCTCCCCACCGGTTCCAGTCCAAGTACCTGTGTAGATGAACAGGAAAGTGGTACAACATTATACTGACTGTCGATATCATAATTATAATATTCGATGTTGGTGCATTAAGGAATGCCCCAGTCTTTAGGTATCCGTAACATTATCCATAAATTATGAATTATTTCTTATCAAGTATCTATTTCTGATATCATCTTTTTATTAAATTGCAATTGCTAGGATCACATGGATTATATTGAACAATTAATAACTATCAACAGGTTAATAGCCTAGTAAAATAGATATGTTTAGTGGATAGGTTGGAATTATCAAGGCGACCATACGACAAATTAATAGACAAGTTGACGCAGTTGCTGGAATCATATTATACATTACATTTTCACTTCACTTTATAAAGAGAATTGCGTCCCTTGGACACGCTAGATTGTGGGTTCGATTCCCGGTTCGCCCCGATTATGTTTCTAGGTTTGTCAGCACCATACCCATGCTCGTGGGTTTCACCGAGATGGTACACGTCTGAGACCTGCATCACTTCGGGCTTTCCTCCCACATTAGGCTGACACGCTGTGCTATAACTGGAATACTGTTAAAAGCGGCGTTAAACCCAACTCACTCACTCACTCACTCACTTGATAAAGGTGGTGCGTAATGGTCATGGGCATATCAGGGTAAAAACCAAAGCACCAAAAATACATACATGTTCCCACTTATATCCTACTCATTTACAAATCTTTATTGATACATGCACACGTGTCTGATTGAATGTAACTGGCAGTTCAAACGTAACTGTTGAGACCTGGTTGAAAATTTTATTGGAGAAGGTTGCATGGATGTTCGGGACTTTGTGCACACACCGGGTCCCTACTTTATACACTAAAAATACAAGAATAAACTAAAAAACATAGGGGGTGTCGAAGCATGGTGTCAATAGTTTCCAGGTGATAATTGATGCCCATAGGGCATAGAATGGCATGTATTTACTTTGACCAGCACATTAATAGGATTGTCGAAAACTTTCATAGGTGCCAACAGAGAATCTGCTTCGTTCTGTTTGCTGTAATATGTTTTGAATGATTGCCACCGAATTTATATACGTTCTGAAACATATGTTTTTTCGGGAATAATAACCTACGTTGTTCAAAGTTATATAATCGATAGTTGACACTTACTCGATAAAACACCTTGCTAAGTTCAAATGCCCCCCGTCCTGTCCCTGCCCCGAGATGTAGCGCTGTGTCAGTGGTGATGTTCATGTCACGTGTGTATTCGCCACACATCGCTGCCAGGACGGCTATGCCGGAGTCTCGGAAGCCGAATTCCAATTCCAAGATTCCTACCAGCGAATTTTCTCCTTCGTAGCAATAGTTGAGGTTTGTGGTGGGAACAGCCTCAACACGATACATGTCACTTAGACATCCACTGTTGGCTAAACATACATACAAAATGGTTTGTGTAAGTCTGATTTTTGTTCACACAGAAAATAAGTCAAGTATAAGGCATAATCTTTTCATCAAAACACGAACAAGAGAAAGCATCTCAATATATATATATATATATGGAAAGAAATCCGAAACATGTTTGATTTTACCTCTGAACAAAATCGAGTAATTCACTTTGTAAAGGCTACCTGTGACACCCTTCCCTAAAACGAATACTGGTGTATTCACGACTCGGGCTGGTAATGACACTCTCCCTTCTTTCGGTTGGTCTATTGTCTGCACAAGTCGGAACCCAAGGTGTTGGAAGAAATGTCGCCTGAAGCCAAACCTGGCGAAGCGAGATGCCTCATCTCCAGTAGATATCCAAGAACCTCCCTGTATAGTAAACATATATTATAGAAAAAAAACACAAAAAAAACTTATCCTCGAATTGGTCTGAGAGGTCTGTTGATCATTAAAGCCCGGCCTTAATAATATCCATGACTTCACATCCCCACCAGCCCATATCATCGGGACTCGAATAGCTCGAATATTCACTAACTAACTCAACCACCCTTGCATGCACATTTTGTATGGATGATGGAAACATTCGTGTAATTCTAGCCTCATTTGTTTGGGAAGAACCAGCACCTGCCTTTCTTCTCCTAAAGTCAACATAAAAAAAACAACCTACAGGAATCTGATGGAATTCAGAATTATGGGTTATGTGTCAATTGCGATGTTTATCAATTTTACGAGATACATTGATTTAATTTCCGAGAGAGACGTTTCCCATAGAATGTATGAAATTATCCAAGTGACAGTACAGAAATAAAATGTGCTCCCGAATCGGCTCCCAAAACAAACCTACTTTTGTCGTGTGACCTAAAGCCACAGTGCTAGTGTGCGTGACAAATGTTGTCATTGGCTAATATGTAGACTTGGGGTGCAGTGTCTATCTACTACATATATCGTGTGAAGCTTAGCAGATATACGAACACAGCAATCACCAATTCAAGATAAAATTGTTTGACTATTTCTGTTAATCCTTTAAAAATAACAACATTGCATATATTGTTGAGTAGGTGAAACAACCCTTCATTTTGTGAAAACTTAAAGTGCAAGTCTCTCGAGTATGTAACAACTTTGCAGATTTGAATAGATCGTAAAATAGTTAAAGCGAATATCGTATTCAAAACATAGAAAGCGGCGTGTACATAAGGTTTATTTGCACGTTAGTTCTGTCTATCAGTTTTAAAGGCGGAAACGAAAATATCGCGTAGGCTGAGACTGTATATATATATACTGAACAGCATTGAAAACGCACCACCATGAAAATGGATGAGTAATATAGGACGTTCTGGACGAAGCATGAAGAAGAACAACTCGTCAAAACACATTCCTAAATGTTTTGTGAGCGAAATCGCCAAAACGCAACAACTTGCGTGCACATCATGGAAAACGTGTTTTGTTTCACGGGAAGCATGCAGAATAGGGCTATAAAAGACAGACTTTTAAAAGCCACATCACTTGTTGCTGCAGACGTAAAGGGTACTGACACAAAAATTGCCAAGATTAACAGCAGAGCAACGTGAACGTGCCTTGGGCATGCTTCAAGTTGGTACGTCAAGTAGTGTCGTTGCACAACGGTTTCAATGCCATCATTCAACAGTCCTCAGGCTACTGAGCATATACCAGCAGACTAGAACCACCAGAAATCGACCACGTCCGGGTCAACGTCGTGTAACTACACCACGTCAGGATCGCCATATTGTTCGTCGGCATCTTCGTGACCGTACACTTCCGGCTACCAGGACTGCAGCAACCGTACAAGGCCGACGGAATTGATCAGTGCTGACACCGTACGTCGACGTCTCCGCTCAGCAGGGCTACGTGCTCGACGTTGGACCCATACTCACTGATCGACATCGAAATGAACGACTGCGTTGGGCCACAAGGCATCGTCATTGGAGATTGCGGCAGTGGCATGGTGTGCTGTTCTCCCGTTTTCATTTACGGAATGCTTACGGTCGATTGCGAGCGTGGCGTCGACGTGGAGAACGTTACCACAATGACTGCGTTGTACAGACAGATCGATGGGGGGGGGGGGGGGGGGGGGGGGCAACTCACGCCAGCCCATTCTTTCATCAGCATCAGGATATGCACACCTTCCAGCAAGATAATGCAAGAGCGCACACAGCACGTGTTTTAACACAGTACCTAGCGGACAATAATGTGCCTCTGCTTCCATGGCCAGCCCTGTAACCCGATCTATCGCCAATTGAACATCTATGGGATTACCTTGGTCAACGCCTCTCACGTCGTCCGCAAGTACAGAACCTGAGAGAACTTGAAGATACACTACGTCAAGAGTGGAATGCCCCAGAACACTATTCGCAGACATATTCGATCAATGAGAAGACGTTGCATGGCCTATGTTGCTGTCAATGGCGGACATACCAGATATTGACCTTTCATTTTAACCCTATGTGTCTTCCTTACACTGATGACGTAATTGTAATTACTGTGTGGTATTCCTGTTTCCTTTGTCGTCTTTCTTAATAATCCGTCTATGTCTGTTTTAATCAAAATCGGTCATTGCTCAAGTTGTTTTTGTAATATTTCAAGATTTATTGCTGGTGCGTTTTCAATGCTGTTCAGTATATATAGGTTTTAAAAATGGTCTTGTGGGAGGAAATTACCTCCAATTACACGCTTGATCGCACAAGCCCGCCCCTCCGTTCGCACTCTAGCAGGCAAGGCTACGTTCAGTCATGGTCGGCTGCACATTTTGTTAGACATCTCCTATCCACAATTAAACAGTGATCATTTGTACACTGTATTTTCCTTCGTATGAGTGGGATAAAAGGATTGAAATATAAGGTCTCTTTCTTTCAACAACGGAAATGTGACAAAGGTCAATGACATAAAAAAAATATTGAGTTCATAATTCAGTGAGAAAACAATGTGTGAAACATACTATTTCTTAAATTGCTTTTATTGTTCGCGTTTCGGTACTTTTATTTCTTTTGTTGTGAGACTTCTGTGTTTCAAATATTCGCTGATCTGTGTATAAAATGATGAAGCACCGATCGTACTTACTTCGTTCCTTTTGCGGTATCCTGATCACAACTTGCCATATGTCCGACTATGACAGTTACAATAGATTTCGAATTATCATGGAATGTGAATGTTTCTCGGAAGATGAATTGGTGATTTCGGAAGAAGTACAAGTGAACCCATACATGTTTGAACCTGTCACCGACAATAGTGACGAAAATAATCAGTATGATACCCATCTTGTACGCATGGATTACACGTGATTGTAAAATACAGATTGGTTCGGTTGTTCAGTACATTTTTTCTAAAAATCACAATATCCCGTTGTAGTCTTGAAATAGCACTACACAGATGAGGCCACATGACTGTAAATCCGTGTCATTGCTTAACATGTTACATTATGGTTGAGATTATGGTTCCACGAAAACTTAGACTTGAACTATATAGTGAAAGAACTGTCACACTCGGCCAACAGGGCATTGGGCGTTTTTAATCAGTAAATTTAAGACTGTCGATGGAATGGCTTATGACGTATTTAACATCTTATTTGGAAATCTTGTCAAACCCATTCCGTCTTAAGGATCTGCGATATGGGGTATAAGAGAATTCCGATGTATTAACAACGTTCAACGCCGAGCATGCCGATTCTATCAAGACGTAGGCTGCAAGTCTGCTGACTCCGCCGTCAGTGCTGACATGGGTTGGTTATCATCTCTGACAACCCATATTGAAACTTTGCGATTTTTGGAAAAAAAAAACTCAGTTCTACTGATCCTGGCAGAATTATTTCGGCTGTCTGCTCATGGTCCACACAGTATCACAAGTCCTCGGCTCTATCTGTTTTGTCAAGATTCGTATCCCGAATGCGTATGACATGTCCCATCAAGAAATTGAATCTATTAAGAAATGTTTAATGATCATAGAAGCAAGGCGGTGCTATCCGATCTGTGGAATGATAGTGGACAAGTTAATGGGAATAAATTACATACGTGTCGACAGTTCAAATATCACCCTAACGTGGAATGTATGTTCGGAATATAATCAACAGACAGCATCAGAGTATATTAGCCAAACTAAGATGTGCTTCACTCCCACTAGAGATCAAAATGAGTCTTTTCCTTCGCCCACTGACGGCGATGTAAATATTGTAATCTCACAGATATCGAGGATGAGTGTCACTGCCTTACTATCCGCCCGTTGTATTCAGATATTAGGTATGAGTTCTATAATCAAGCTGGTATATTAAATCCATCTTTCCCTAATTTATCTCCAAGTGATCAGTTTATATTTAGGCTGCAATGTGAGAAGCTCTGTAAACCCCTAGCCACTTCTATATTACACAGGTTCTAACATAAAAGACATGCACTACTGTTATAATTATCCAGTAAGTGTTCAGCATTTTGTGTGAGGAAGTTGTAAATTATTCAGTAAGTGTTCAGCGCTGTGTTATTAGAAATAAAGATTTTCAATAAGAGTTTTCCGCTGTGTGTATGGAATTGTGTTGTAAATTATCCAATAAGCGTTCAACGCTGTGTGAGAGGAAGATGTTGTATATTATCCAATAAGCGTTGTGTGAGAGGAAGATGTTGTATATTATCCAATAAGCGTTGTGTGAGAGGAAGTTGTTGTAAAGAATCGAGGAAGCGTTCGGCGCTGTGTGCGAGGAAGTTGTATAAGCATTTAGCGCTGTGTGCATGGAAGATGTATATTATTCAATAAACGTTCTGCGCCGTGTGTATGAAAGATGTTGTATATTATCCAATAAGCGTTCAGCGCTGTGTGAGAGGAAGATGTTGTATATTATGCAATAAGCGTTCAATGCTGTGCGAGAGGAAGATGTTGTATGTTATTTAACAAGCGTTCAGCGCAGTGTGTATGAAAGATGTATATTTTTCCAATAAGCGTTCAGCGCTGCGTGAGAGGAAGATGTTGTATATTATGCAATAAGCGGTCAATGCTGTGCGAGAGGAAGATGTTGTATATTATGCAATAAGCGTTCAGCGCAGTGTGCGAGGAAATTGTATAAGCATTTAGCGCTGTGTGAATGGAAGATGTATATTATTCAATTAGCGTTCAGCGCAGTGTGAGAGGATGTTGTTGTAAATTATCCAATAAGCGTTCAGCGCTGTGTGCGAGGATGTTGTATAAGCGTTTAGCGCCTTGTGTATGGAAGATGTTGTATATTATCTGATAAGTGTCTAACGCTGAGTGTGCATAAGGAACTTGTTGTATCATCCAATAAGCGGTCAGCGCTGTGTGTGATAAACTTATTAGCATAGTGTTAAGCTCATATCGGCTGTTTTCTTCAGGTTAAATTGCTCAAATATATTTTTACAATTTTAGTGAAATGCAACTAGTGATTGTTCGTGTCTCAGAGGCCCTGTGGCCGGACATTGCAGTGTTTGCTTTTTATATGATTTATTGTATCGTGCACGTAAATAAAATATTTTCTACTTCTTCTTCATTACACTATACACATGCTTGAGTGTGAAATGTTACCTGCTGGGATACGTTATACAATAATCTACTGCAGTTACGGTAACCTCCCATTTGTCAGACAGCTTATACCAAGATAAGTCAAGGTTGGCTTGTCAAGCAATAGTTACTTGTTTACCTTTCATTAAAGTGGAACAGACCAGAAAACACATATTTTGAGGAATTTACAGGATTCATTGAAAAAAACACTCGAACATTCAGCATTATCGCTAATAATAGGTCACTACATCCTAGTCTACATCCTAGTCTTAAGTTAACTTAAAAAAAAATATTTTCAGATTGTTTGACTCCAAGATATCACCTATGTTACTGTATCGGTCAGAAATATGGGCATTCCATAAAATGGAAGAAGTTGAGAAAGTTCATTTACATGCGTGTAAATGGTTATTGAATGTTAAACAATGTACATCAAGTAGCGCTGTATTGGGTGAATGTGGCAGATTCCCTTTACATATCAATGCAATGATGAGAGCTTTTAAATATTGGCTACGTTTAATGTGTATGCCGGGGCCCCGCTCACCTAAAAAGTGTTATGAAATGATGTATCTATACGATAGTCAAGGAAAGAAGAATTGGGTTACTAATATTAGAACAATGTTCTTTTCACTCGGATTCAGTCATATTTGGTTATCACAATCACCCGGTAACGTACAGGTATTTACTTCGATGTTATTTCAACGTTTGAAAGATAATTTTCAACAAATATGGCATAGAAGTTTATGTAATAGCTCCAAAATGTCCTATTCTCATTTTAAATTAACGTTGAAGTGTGAAGAATATTTGTATTGTGTAACCGTGAGTAAATTCCGGTCATGTATGTCAAGGTTTAGATGCAGTGCACACTTGCTGGAAGTAGAAACTGGTAGAAAACTTAATATCCATCGCGTAAAAGATTTTGCAAACTATGTCAAGTTGGCCTAATAGAAAACGAGTTTCATTTCCTGCTAGTGTGCCCTGCATACACTCACCTACGCCATCTCTATTGTCCTTCAAAATATTATCTACACCCAAATGTCCATAAGTTTAAATTTCTTTTATCTACAACCAACAAAAAGCTGATTATTAGTATCGCTAAATATCAGTAAAGAAGAGAGAACACGTATTTTATCAGTGTGACTGTTGCCATAAATATGCCATACATTTTGTACAAAGGGCCTGTGGCCTGTACTGAATAAAGAATTCAATAACTTACAGTGGATTATCTGATTTATGCGTGAACCAATATTTTTAAATATGTCAGACACATCTGATTTACTACAGTTATACAGTTTTTATGATATAAAGAAGCGGCTTCTTTCAAAGTAGAAGCTGGTACTGTGGACTGATTCAGTTCGTCAATTAGGCTCAGGGTATTCGTTAGTGTCTCCTTTTCATGTTATACAAATAAATAATTTGTGAAGTGTCGTCTTTCAGCCAGGGAGGAGAGACAGGTTTTTTTTATATAATCTTGTATGACTTCGACTTCATGTAATATAGCACGGTACCTATAGTACATGCGAGATTAGACTCAGATTATGGAGAAGTTTAATCTATCTCATGTGTTCTTATTCTACCTAACATTGTATCTAGCATTGTTTGTTAATCTTCACCGAGTTTCCTGTATTCTATATCATTGAAATAACTAAATCTAAATCTTTGCTAATAAAACACACGCAACCCGACACAGATCAAAAGCAACTTATAAACACAATCATAATCTGCTTAATCACTTAACGAGTTGGAGCAGCTTACTCTGCCGACAGTATGGAGCAGCTCACTAATTAGTAGGTAAGACCAGGCAGTTACACTGGTCACCCTTGACAAATGGGTCGTCTAACAAATGGGACGTCTGTCGTTGATGAATGACTGTAGGGGAGAAAAATACCGTTCTGGGTAATTATCACTTAGTGGCTACAAAGATCAATCGATGGTTTTTTTAACAGCACGGATTGAGAGGGTTGGGGTGTGTGGTGCCCGCACCCCTAAAATTGAAAAGGAAAATATCTTACGATGTTTATTTAATAAAATATTTATAAGCGCCCTAGCTTATGTATTGAAACAGTTATCAGCGCTTCAGCTTATGTAATGAACCTTTTGTATGCGCGTTAGCTTTAGTATTGAAATATTTTTTTGTGCCCTAGCTCATGTCATAAAACATATATATGCATGTTTGTTTGCACCTCAGCTTATGTAATAACCTTTTATATGTGCCCTAGCTTTTGTAATGAATCATCATTATATACAATTAGCTTCAGCACATTTATAATCAAGAAAATCACAACCCCAAAGATAACTTAATTAAGTTTTGTAACACTTCCGATCTGATGGTGTCACTTCCTGTAATAGAATATATCTGTGCTAAAATAATGACCAGGCTGGAATGTTTAGAGGCTCTCGTGATATAGCAGGGAATAGTACTGTCTGGAGTGTCAACAAATGGAGCTGGATGTTTGCGGTATGGTAGCCTAGTGCTGATATTGCTGAAATATTACTAAAATCGGCGTAAAATCATACCTACTCATTCATGTTTTGTCTTCATGGATGCCGAGTGCATGAGCAAATGTTTCGAATATCGTGTTCCAGAGGTCATTGAAGGTTAAAATTCAATGTGCAACATAGAAACAACACGTACTGTTAATGTACATACATATAGATAACGTTTTTTTGTATTACAACGAGTGTATTTCAAAACTTATCTAACGAGCGAAAGCTCTTTCATGTTGGCTACGCGATTTCATGAGGTAGCTGAATGTCATGAAATCCCGTTTAGCAACTTCAATGTCGTAAGTTGACTCGGCGATGAATGTTAATTTGTATTGATGCTTCAATATAATGTTTTGTTATTTCGTGATGATCTGACCCTTCATGCTACCACAATGCTTGCAATAATGCGATACAAAAGCGCCAGTTCGTATCCGCTATTTCAAATGTATTTCTTCGCGAATCCAACAATATATCATAGGCAACTACAAAAACACACTGAAAAATTCAAAACAAATATGTCTACAATACAGCAAGTTGTGAGATGCACGTATATTATGTCTATGCATCTCTGGAGTTCTTGAAAACATCGTAGTGTCTGTCGTGAGTCGATTATCCGAGCAAAGTATCATGATCACAGTCTATTCCACACGTGATGTTTTTACACTATGTGTAATACAGCTGTATGTTTACTAAAAAATGATGCTTCCAACGGGTGAGTAATACATACGTGCACATGTCTACGAATCAGTAAATCGAATTGTCTTCCACATGTGTTTTGATTCCATAATTTGTTTTCGTCGCTATTGACGTTGATGCTTTTCTGACTTGCACATTTCCTCCATAAATCGAAAACTGCTGTAGCCTAATTTCAGAAAAAGCATACGTTTCCAAAAGAAATATTTTCACTTTTCATGTCGTTCTCAAACTTATATCCTTTTATAGCCATAACATAACAATTCAGCACATTTGGCCCATTCGATACTTCGATGTGTAAAAGCCGCGTTTGGCAATCTTTCAGTTATATTGTGTCTACATGGACGAGTGTTATGTTGACCCTGACACATTATATAGATTCTTGGCAAAACAATAAGACTTTAACCACCATGTCCAACAGCTGATGAACAAAGTTGATTATACCTCAAGTCATTGTCATGTATAAAAATAAAGACAAATATGAACTGTTTTTAACTTTTAGCAACAGTCATGTATATTTGGCAGGGTAGGAGCATGTAGGTGAAGTTTCAGCAAGATTGGCGCCAGATACAGACAAGTCACTATGTTCACATGGATCTATGCTCATTATGCATGTTATTTGGATACTAAATATAAAATGTCTTAACATAGACATACCAATCTTTCATCTGTTGATTTCTTATAAAAGGAAGTTCTCCTGTAATTATAAATTAAATCTTCAAAACCATTAGATCATTTGCTATGATATTCACCAGGATCATGTTGTGATGGCCATCGAAGCATGGCGAGGAGAAGTCGTCATACAGCCAGTGTGTGCTGAAGCCGCAGAGTCCATTGAAGTGGTCCTCGAGCCATGTCCATACATTTCCAAATGCATCATGGAAACCCATCTCATTGCTCGGGTACAGGTTGACAGGCTATCACAGGAAATCAACAATGTTACCAACACTTGGGACATTGTAGGTGACATGTTTGTTGTAAATTGAACTTTATCTGTCAAACATTGACGGATCCAAGTCGTCAGCAGACAATGCTTTAGAGAGGGGCATTCATTATTGCGTCAAGAAACTGACGGGAAATTGAAGTACATATGTGTCTATGCTGTAATAAATATTGAATAACTGAAGAATTGGAATTGTTTCCATAACTTTCTCATGACAAGCACTGATCAATCTAGAGGTAGCGGGAATCAAGGAGTGCCATTGAAACTCGAATACTCACAGTTGAGGAGCCATATTGAAGATTTAGGTTGGCTTCTATCTTATCACTGTATATGATGTCACAGGCTGTACCGTCGCTTATTGGCCTCTGATGAGAGAGAAAACACATGTACATGCTTTCATAATTCAAAAAGTGTTCGTTATGTTTGAGGTGAGGTGAGGTGATATGGGGTTTAACGTCGCGTCCAAGATTATTGCACTTATATAGCGACGTGCATGCACGTGTATGTGTGTGTGTGGCTGCTTGTACTAGTCCGGACTGATGCCGATTTATAGTGCTAGCACACTGAGATACCATGCCGCAGTTTATAATGAATACCCCACTAAGACACAGTATACTGACTCCGAGCCGACCAGTCCTTGTTTTAGCCCCTTAATGCCGAGCGCCAGACAGGGTAACAACAAGTACCATCTTTTAACGTCTTTTGGTATGACGCGGCTGTTGATCGAACCCCGGACCTTCCGCTCTTCGGGCGGACGCTCTACCATTAGACCACGGAGGCGTCCCGTTATGTTTGATATAAACACTTATGACTTACCTGTTTGCCTCTCATGACATTATGCTCCGCTTCTGTTGGTAAGCGGAAACCCGCTCCCTTCCAGCAACAAAACGCCTTTGCTTCATGGTAATTAACTTCAGCCGGCCAGTCGATGGGAAGGTTTACCAGGTCAAACATCAATCTCAACCTGAACAAATGTATGAAGGTTGTATACCCATGATCCCCGCAGTTTTCAACATGTACACAGGTCCAGATCGTATGGATTGGGACATTTGGTACTCAAATTCCCGTCTTTGGAACGTGACACTATTTGCTTGATAAAACAAAAATAGCATCTCAAAAAGATTATATTCTATGTAGTGACAGTAATCTAAAATAATTTTCCTGTGAACACATTGTTCACATCAAACTTTAGTCCAGGAAACTTGTTTCAGTAGTTCACATACATTAATACACTTTTTATTTGAATTCGCATTAATGGAATATTTTGAGCAAAGATTCCTATTACAAAACGTTAAAATGATTTCTGAAACGCCACAATGAACTTTGCATATATCATTGTCACTTGGTTTTTCTGGCAAATCAACGACATCAGGTATGATCATGCATTATAATCGCGAACGAACAGGGAGTCGAACCCGTGGCCACACAATTGGCACCCATGTGGCCATAAATCTGTATGAGTAAGGATGGATCAAACTTGAGACAATTATCTGAAGATGCTAATAACACATAACAACATAACACTCGTCAATTTAGACACAATATTTTCCGAAACAAGAACAATTTCTAAGATCGGATTGCAAGAGATACTCGCCAAGAGTCAAAATCACACTATTGTTAATGTTGTCACTGTGCAATATAATACGTAATACATTCTAGGAAGCACGGTTGGCCCAGGGCAGAGTTCCGTCCCTTAGTCAAGCCAGAATCCGAGAATAGTGGATTATGGTTCATGGTTTGTAAGAACCATACCAGTGCTCGTTGGTTTCAGCCCAGGGTTTTCGTCTATGAGCTGCATAACTTAGGGCTCTCCTCCCACACAAAGCTATCATGCTGTGATGGAACTGAAATTCTGTTAATATACATTTACTCACCCACCTTGTTAATCCACCAATAAAAAGGCAGTTTTCAATAGGTAGGGATAGACTAGTATTACCTCCTCTAGGATCCAGAGTCTAGGTCTAAGTCACTTTCATGATCCTTGATTCAACAATAGTTTAATGTGGGTACAGAAGTAATGCGACATACAGAGGATTGGGTGAGTGTTTTGGAGTAATGTAATGTCCTTGGCCTAGATTTTCGAAACGATCTTAGCCCTAAAATTATCGTAAAGTTATCGTAAAGAAATCGTAGGCTATCGTAGCCTATTTTCGAAACTATCGTAGCCCTAAGATATCTTAAGTTTGTCGTAAATCTAAGATAGCCCTATACCTGTCGTAAGTTTATTTTACCCTTATCCAAGATGGCGGTATAATTTGCTCTGGACATTTTTCATGATGAAGATGACAATGATTTGATGACAAGACCGAGGATATTCCGAGACAGAACTCGTCCCCTCGATACGCTTGACGACTTCGAGCTATTTTCCCGCTACAGATAGGTGTCGTAGCTCTGAGCGATCTGCGACAGGTTTACGATTGTTTCGAAAATCTATCTTATCTTAGTCTTAAGATATCTTATCTTTGAACGTAAGTAGTTAAGATTTATCTTAGCTAAGATCGTTTCGAAAATCTAGGCCCAGAAGTGTTACAATATTAGTATCGTGTTGTTCGCATCTTTATTACTGTGCAGGAAAATCAGTCAACCTGTATTCAGTGTCGACGCTCTGGCTGTTGTTGTCATCCTTTTTAAGTATCTTCTCGGATACATCTTTGATATGGCAGTGAGACCAGTTAGCCAGGTCCCCGCCACAACCCCCCACGCAGCCTGTAAGAAATCAGTCTATCAGTTAAATCCTCGCGACCGTGGATAACCAAACTCAATCCTTCAGTTCATACCGGCCAGTATTTGGAGGAAATGATATTGGGATTCATTAGCTTCAATAATTCACGTGACTAGCGCATTGCACAACACATTCTAGTAGCTGGAGAGACATTTATATCAATGTTGATCGAATCAAATTTTCTTTTTCAGCAATTAACATAATTTAGATGAAACAAGCACCTTTATTGCAGACCCAGAACACCGGGTGATTTGCCTGTTTAAACTCTCGCCACTTCCATCCCTCACTGGACCAATACTTCTTGCACCTATAACCACCAGAACGGACAAAACCAAGAAACTCCCCGTTGGTCACCAGATATTTGGATGCTTTGAATGGCGGCACACTGGAATAAACCAGACATTATTAATGTAAACCTAAATGCTGCCGCACAAAATACACGCACGTGTGTTTCTTAAGCACAGCCAAATTATTAAGCATATATTGTTTCCGCCGCAGTCAGCAATAATAATAATAATAATAATAATAATACTATTTTTTTATTGTGACTGACTGATATATATAAATAACGTATTTTAGGAGTATGCGAGTAAAGTAAATTTGTAAATAAAGCGACAATACCCTTTCCATATGCATATTAGTCGACTGTAGGATTCTGTCTACGGTTCCGTTCCACAATACGATCTTAGCGCTACGACCGTCGTAAGTCTATGTGTAATGTATGGCAGCTACGATCGTCTTAGCGCTACGACCGTCGTAAGTCTATGTTAATGTATGGCAGCTACGATCGTCTTAGCGCTACGACCGTCGTAAGTCTATGTTAATGTATGGCAGCTACGATCGTCTTAGCGCTACGACCGTCGTAAGTCTATGTTAATGTATGGCAGCTACGATCGTCTTAGCGCTACGACCGTCGTAAGTCTATGTTAATGTATGGCAGCTACGATCGTCTTAGCGCTACGACCGTCGTAAGTCTATGTTAATGTATGGCAGCTACGATCGTCTTAGCGCTACGACCGTCGTAAGTCTATGTTAATGTATGGCAGCTACGATCGTCTTTGCGCTACGACCGTCGTAAGTCTATGTGTAATGTATGGCAGCTACGATCGTCTTAGCGCTACGACCGTCGTAAGTCTATGTTAATGTATGGCAGCTACGATCGTCTTAGCGCTACGACCGCCGTAAGTCTATGTTAATGTATGGCAGCTACGATCGTCTTAGCGCTACGACCGTCGTAAGTCTATGTTAATGTATGGCAGCTACGATCGTCTTAGCGCTACGACCGCCGTAAGTCTATGTTAATGTATGGCAGCTACGATCGTCTTAGCGCTACGACCGTCGTAAGTCTATGTTAATGTATGGCAGCTACGATCGTCTTAGCGCTACGACCGCCGTAAGTCTATGTTAATGTATGGCAGCTACGATCGTCTTAGCGCTACGACCGTCGTAAGTCTATGCTAATGTATGGCAGCTACGATCGTCTTAGCGCTACGGTCGCTTCGTGGAATGTGTTTAGAAATCACAATTTCGTATCCCGTCCCACATGTGTAATATACGTGTCATGCCAGTGCAATTACACATATGTTTCTGTACCTGGAGTAACCTACGCCTGTAGGTCGATTAGTGACCAACATGTGTGAAAACATCCATCCTCATTTTTAAAACAGACTTGGGATATCACTTGTCAAGGATGATGAAATTATCTGCCATATACGTTAGATTTCAAACATACTTTCATTTACACATACACGTATAATATTATAGTTCCTTTACAGCTGGCATGTATCCATTCACGACCTCGCGATAAAATGACGTTCTTAAAATGATTTGCGGACGCTATACCTTCAGTTTCACAAATATGTAACGATTCAATCCCCCACCCCATAACTTACTGTATCTCCGCTTGACCATATTCGTTGTCCCACCCATAGGAAGGGAAGTTTTTAGGCTTGCCAATTGTGATATCATGTGTCTCGACAGAGATCAGTGAGTTCTCGGTCGCACTGGAGCCTGCAAAGTAGTCAACAATAACACCTTACCGTTCAGGTCCATGGGTTAAGGTTTTAAAGAAAGAAAGAAAACGCAAAAAAAGAAGAAAAAAAAGAGAAGAAACGCGTAGTAGTACAAACGTAAATATCTAACTTTGTGTTGCCGACATCCATACAAAATTAACATAAGAAATGAATTGGTCATTTCTGCATGGATTTGGATTGATTTGTGTGAAAAGAATGAGGTACTGCAGACATATGGTGAAAATATGGGAAACTCGCAAAAACACAACCACGTGAGAGCATGGTGCCGAAACACACCAACATGACATGCAAGTGCAACATCACTTGTTGAGCTATACAAAAGTTGGGTTTTCATTTGCCTACCATCACAATCTCACAGCAAGTGAACAGCTAAAACGTGCCACGACTGACGGAAGCCTAGCGCAACAATACCATATGCCAACTGCCAAGACGAGAATCATCTTCAGCTGTAGCTAGGTTTTTCCACGTAGCACTGTTACAACCCTTAAAGCTCTGCACGCTAACGTCGAACCCATTCGACAGAGGTGTCCATCCCCGTGCATCTGATGTCGAACCCATTCGACAGGCGAATAGCATAACAACACCCCAAAATAAAACTCGCCATATATATTTACCAAGAAGGCTTTGCGTAACATTTAAATTACGTATGGCATGCATAAATGCACGGCTTGCTCAATATCAAAACGTTCAGTCATTTATTTACCTCAAAAAGAAAATATCGCGAGTTAAAAAAGTTTCGGCCAAACTTCTCGGCACACAACTACCAGAAACGGCCATTGTTGACTTTTGGCACTTCACGTTGAGCGGCATGCAGTCCGATATTTTCTTTATAATTTCATCATTTTTCCTATTCGATCATAATTTTTTGTTTGCTGACGAAAGGAAAACACTCATGTTCCTTTATTTCTAAAAATTAGCAACTTTCGGTGTAACTAATTGTAAACAAAAACAATCTGAATCGTAACATCATCGATTGGATGGAACTTGTACGATCATGGCAACGGCGGTAAACAAACAACTCCACATGCATAGTTATCCCGTTAGACTATTACAATCATTTTGTTACATCTAACTTAATTTTCTAGAATTATTGACACGTATGTATAAATCTTTGTAAAAAGAATTTCATTTTTAAAGAGTTTGCAAATGATTTCGTTTGATAAACTTTCCGACACATTGACAAGCCGACAAACATCAGTGATACGTTTGGGCGTGGCCTAACTCGCGATTTGTTGAGTTGAACAAAGTCAACACACACTGCGAAATATGACAAATATTGGATGAAACGCAAAATCTGAACTGATATACATTCTAGGTAAACCATTCAATAGCAAAATAATGCATTTTACGAGAAATATACAAAATACTTGCAATTTTAGCTATCATTTCTGAAACCGGAAGCACGTACCGCATGTGACACATGGAAGCAAAATATGCAAAAGTTGGTAAGCTATCATAAAGAAATTCCGAAATAGATTCAAATTGAAAAGAAAATCCCATAATTTACTATTTTTCGTCAACTATTTACTATTTATTGATATGGAGAGCAGTATTCACTCCTATTTGTTTCAGATTTCTTCGTGATTGTCGCCATCAAATGTTTAAGTCTAAATCCGAAACCGTAATGGATTTCACGCTCGATGATTTTAATTTTAAAATATTTTCTAAAAACGAACGCAACGGAGAGCGATACAACGTATTGATATGCCATAATAATAACATAATATTGTTATTGGTCTAACATTACAAAAAGAACAATTTAAATATTAAAGATGTTGTTGAAAACTTTCTGAGAACCTCCCGTCCTCTGAACCGATGACATTTTGGTACACAACTAGGTAGTGTAAATATATATAGATTCTAGGCTCCTATATATATATATATATATATATATATATATATATATATATATATATATATATATATATATATATATGTGTGATTTTGTACCCAAAACAAATTAAATTGTACCCAAAATACTTTGTGCATTTGTACCTAAGAAAATAAGACAATAATCTATAATTATATTTATGTTTTCATGTAGATGAACAGAACACATAATAAAATATTTCATCAAGTTCCAAATATGATTATGACTGTGATCCTTGAAATTGATTGTTTAGTTTTGAGAGAAAATTGACGTCTTGTCACAGAAGGAGAGGCCAGTTAAGTTGGTTAAACCTAAGTTAGAATGTATTGTTTTGATAGGAAAGTGATATTATGTTAAGTTTAAGACACCAAATTAATGTATATCTTTGAAATAATTCTAGGTAGATCTACATAATCACATACCCATTTGGGTAACAAATTACTAGAAATTTTGGGTACAAAAGTCACCACTGTACATTTCAACTGATTTTCGTGAATCAATGGGATAAAAAAAATTCGTCTGAATGATTCCTTTTCTCATTTTTTAAGACAAGAATTTGTTTTACATAACAAAACAGGCAGATCTACACGGATCACATTTAGTCCTAAAAAGGTGAAAAATATGGACACCTCAGAAATGAGGGCTTATAAGGTTATAATTCTACCTAACTAGTCACATGGTTTGACTTAGATCTAGGTCTATCTAAGAAAAGTCCTTATGAAAATCTTTTTTTAATTTTTTTATGACACTGACATTTCTGGCACTTAGACAAAGAGTATTCAAGGAAAGACAGATATGTTTTTGAATGAAAATATGACTTTCCTTTATAATTCTTTTTTCATGATGACAGGGGAACTTTTATACACACCAGCTGAGGAAGTTGTGATACTGTGATTGCATACAAAGAAAAAACAGGTTGGAAGCAGTACCTGTATGTATAAAATAGACCACATAAGGTGAACAAAAGTAATGGATTGGCTGACTGGAAAAAATACATCTGGCAAGGGTAAACATGTACACAGGCATGTTTCTTTTCATTCCAACCAGAAGACTGAGATAGCATTTTCTAAGAAACCTACGGCAAACTTACCAGCTCATGTGCCACCATGGTTCTTGTGATTAAACAAACAAAAATGTCATGTACTGTTACGAGTACTGTTACTGTAATTAAATTAAATTAATTCCTATTAAATTATATTTCAGAATTGTTTTATTTGGAAACAAACCACATAATGCACAAGATTAATGTCCATATGAGTTTAGTATGTATATGTTAAGGATCTGATTTATTCATTATTCATGGAATACTAAAATTAAAATGATGACATCAGAGAGTTACTTATTCACATAGTTGATTTTCAGAGTGCAAGATAATAATTGTTGAATAAATATGTTTAAACTAAAGATAATAATTGAAGTTTGATCAGTTACACTGTGCTGATGCAAAGACTAATATTTACTGTCCCCACACACCATCATTGTGGGAAAAATAACTATTAAATATAACTTAAAATTTTAAAACCTGTAAACAGCTGTAAATAATTAAACAATTACAAATCTATCATCAATGCGCAAACATGGTGGTCTTCATATTTTTGGAATAAATTTAGAAATCCTTCGTGAAACTGTTCTAAAATCATGCTAGAATCTATGAATGTATTCCCGAAAGGAAAACTATCCTAAATGTAATGTGGAACTAACGCCGAAAATATGTACGTAGCATTTTATTGCTTATATATACCCTATCATATTCAGCAACGCGGGGATGTTATTTTGAAACACGTTTTGTCAAGCCCATTTTCGCACACCTGTTGTTGAGGGTGATCTTGCTGATCGACGATATCCATAGACGTATTGCGTGGGATACACTTGTTGTAGTGAAACTTATCAGTATGTACATCGCAGAAATATGAATCATGTCCCATTTATATTCACAACATTGAATGGTGATTCTTAAATATCAACAGAAGTTCAAATAAAAGATACCGAGAAACTTGCATGTGGCATGTTGATTTATCGTCTACCGTTTCCGGGTCACGGGAGCATGCAAGGTCAAACGGATTAACTAATACGCGAATTATATCGTCAAAGTCACATTTTTATTTCATGTTAGTGGTGATTACTGATACTGTGTGTCGACTTATATTTTTGCTGTATGTGATAGGCGAACTATTTCAAAATGTACTGTAATTGTTTTGTTTCGAGTGAGTGAGTGAGTGAGTATGGTTTTACGCCGCTTTTAGCAATATTCCAGCAATATCACGGCGGGGGACACCAGAAATTTCACACATTGTACCCATGTCGGGAATCGAACCCGGGTCTTCGGCGTGACGAGCGAACGCTTTAACCACTAGGCTACCCGACCGCCCCGTTTTGTTTCGAAAGCTTATCAGCAGACTACCCCTGTCTGTGACATCACATCCGGTGACCTTTGCACTTATTGAAATAGTGCTGTCAGAATTCACGATCTTTATTTTCATTTTTCTCTCGTCATATTTATTGGAATATGACGAATAAAACATTCTTCGATTGAGAAGATCGTCAACTTTCGCTAAGTTATATTTATAAAGGCAATGTAAACTTTGTTGATATTAAAATAGCAATAAGTTATGCGGAGGTCGGGCGAAGCGCGCCATGTTTGATTTTAGGAAGTCTGCTAGCATCATGACACGGGTTGTTTATTTTTGTATATCGTAAATATTCAACCAAAACCCTTGAAATTAGGATTAGTGAATATTTATAAGTCATTTATTGTTTCCTGCAAATTTTATTACATGACACGTCAGATTAACCCGAATATTCGTATTTCTGCAACCGACATGATGACCTCGAAAATTAAGTTATTTTTCTGTTTAACGTTTAGATAATAAATTCACTGAAATGGTTCACCATCGCGCTGATATATGCCGATTATAAAACCCGAAGTTTTACTCAATTAAAATTAAGATATCGGAGATATGATTATTGAAATCAATTTGCAAAAATGTTACGATATTAAAAGGTTCCTAGCATGAAATGCAAACCACCTTCAATAACGCAATTCAGGTAAGTTCAAGAAAATTTACAAATTTTGTGTTCGCTTTGGTCTTAACCTTGGTATGATTGAAAACACCAGGATATTTTTATATAGAATTGTGTAGTTTTCTATCAGGAATAAATGTGCAAAATATTTCTTCAATTGGCCATTGTTTAATGAGGCACCGACTGTTTGAATTCACCCACCCTCTTTAGAGCGCCTTATGCTAAAATTAATCCAGCAGGCAGGGGTAAGAAGTGTGAAAATAATTCAGCAGGCTAAAGGTTAATGTAAAATTACTCTTAACGTGAAACAAATTACATTAAGGGTTGCGGGTTCACCCTTGTTTCAACCCTTAATGTAAAAATTACTCTTAATGTAAAAATATTTTACATCTAGGGTTTGCGGGTTAACCCTTCTTACAGCCCTTAATGTAAAAATTACTCTTAATGTAAAACAAATTACATTAAGGGTTGCGGGTTAACCCTTGTTACAACCCTTAATGTAAAAAATACTCTTAATGTAAAACAAATTACATTAAGGGTTGCAGGTTCACCCTTGTTACTACCCTTAATGTAAAAATTACGAACGACAATACGTCACATAAGCCTTTCGGACATCTTGCATGTATGGCTAAAAAGTAAGGTGATTAGAACTATCCTATGGGGAATTAAATACCTCCCGCACACGTATGATAATGTAAACATGAGTATTCAAACGCCCCTCTGCAATAAAACTGGACGACAAAATCGCAACCTCTGTTTTTTTAAGATTATACGAAATAGGAACGAGCATTTAAAGGATCAATGTAAAAACAAAACTTATGTGGTTGAGTTCGAAGTACCATAACATGTCAATATACGAAATCGGACAATTTCTAAATTTCGACCAATCAGAGGCCGATTGGCATGACACCAAAATGGTAATGGAAATGATAGCATGTCGTACAGTGTCCGTAGCTACACCTACGTACATATCTGAAAGAAATCGATGTAGTAGATGTATGTAGTCCAGACAAATTGAAATGACGAGGTAATAAAAGGCAATAACTCTGCCGAAAAAAACAACTAATTGTAATGTGCCCAACAACATGTTGAAGTGGCCCCGTGTACAAAGTTGAATTGAAATCAGTCAATTAGCACTTGTCCGGAAAGTTATTTTCTGCCGACAGACCGACAGACAGGCGGACACACGGGGGAACAAGGAACTAATAATCTAATAAAATGATATTCACGAGGGTTTTCAAAAGGAATTCAAAAATAGATATTTACTAGATATGTAGATGTTTGAGGCTTGTAAATAAGAAAGGTTATACCAGTGGATGTTGTGCTTATCATTCACACCTAGTTTCATAAAGAGCCCGTATTAGTATGGGAAAATAGTCTTAAATAGGGTTAATTGTCTAAATATATCTAAATATTTTAACGAAATCAAACAACTAAATTTGATGCCTCGATTACATTACCATGATGGTAAAAATACCTATTCGGTTGAGTCCTGAAATACATTGTACCTAAATACCAAATTTGAACGAAATCTCTGAATATCGAAATCTCTGAATATCTCTGCAAATGCCGCTTTCCGTTGCCATGGGAGCAAGGTAAATAAAGTCATATTGTAATATGTCCCTAGATACACCTTTGTACCAGGATTTAACAAAATCGGCTAAATGACACGTCAGTAATGACCCATAAAGAAAACCTGTAAATAACGACCAAGTTGTCGTTGTTGAGAGGTTATTGGAACTTACACAAGTTCCATGGCTCTACAATGTTGTTCCTGAGAAAACGTGTATTCTATTACGAATAATTGGTCTTTACATTATTCAGTACTTGCAGACGGAGGGCTCTTTGTACAAACGAAATGCAATTTAGGTTCAAACAGTCAACACTTTCCTTTGCTTTTCTTTTTAAAAAAGCAGTTGCATATTATCAAAGGAGTATTTGTGTTCTTACATATGGAAGCCTGGTCAATGACTATGATGTGTGTGTGCCAATTTTTAAAAAATCGATTACCATCTATTGATATTTATATGATATATAAAATAAACATCTGAAATCACCTTTTTTTGCATACATGCATTCAAATATATTCACGCGGTAAGAAGTTATTGAGTATTTTTGTTATGCTTATAAATTAACAACATGCATGAAATTACATGTGTATTGTTTTTAAATCATGTCTCATGAGCAACTACTGGTATATTACTTATTAATAGTGGCCATTTCGTTAATATCTGATATGTATTTTTTAAGTAAATACATCTTGCGATCTTGGCTAATCCCAATATATATAAGGCTACCAAGACGTAAATTCTTCAAAATAAACTCAAAAATAGCCTACCACTTTTCACAGGTCCATATGTCCATCCTTCGGGCTTGGACACCAAATGTATGGGCAGCTGGCGTATGAGAACAGACGATGTCTCCAGGTGAATCCTTTCATGTTCCATCCCCATGACAAGACCCCACTGTTGTTAACAAACACACATCTGATCTATGCATTAATACAGTTCCACAACATGGCTAAACCCACTGTGGTTAGCCAACAGAATACGCATTGTTAATTACAGAGCGCATCTTGGTTTATGTCACGGTATTCCGACGCGAAAGACGCGAAACTAAAACGTTATTTGCCTCACCCAGGAACTTTCCGCTGTAATAGGTAGGGTGAGTGGGGTGTCGTCTATCTGGTCAAGAATCAGATTTCTCACTCTTTGTCTGTATTTCACTACTTGGTCCAGGGAAGGCCACTCAAAGCCTCCACCCATACGGTAGTTCTCCTGCAACAATCATTTGTAGGAAATTCACCATGTCCTTATTAATTCGAGTACTGGACATTTATGCATCTTAAAAATAGGCTATTCACCATTTCTTATAACAATTTTGAAGGTGGTCTGCAAACTGATGGGTAACTATTCTCCCGGTATTGCCCCGAAAACTGTTGTCATATTTGTAATACTCGCTTACTATGTACCATACTCTCCATCCATCTGTCATTCTGAATACATCTTATATCGTCTACATGTATCTAACGTGATGTACCTGACGTACTCTACATTTATTTGGCGTACAAAATACCAATCTGCCGTACTCTATATAGCCATCAATCGACATATTTGGCAGCTAATCCTACAGCTGGTCCAGGGGCACTTTTGACCAAGACGCTGTGCGATGGTGTGCCCCTTAGGCGTCACTCTATAACCTTGGATTCTACTCCAAGATTCGCCGTGATAATGTTTCCAGGTCTGACAGGACCATACATGTGTTCATGGGTAAACATCACTTCGGGGCTTTCATCCCACATCAAGCTGACAGAACGCGAGATGAGTTAAGTTCTTAGGCTGTTCAAATCGGCGTTAAAATACCCTACTCGCTGACCTGTCCCATTACTTTTTACATCTTAACAAAATTAAGTAGGCTATGTATAAATGTTAGTTACGAGGATTTAAAACGACTTATTCTACCACAGGACTTATTGCGTTCGTGATGTCAAGTCATTTCGGTAGTGTTTACTCCATGACTAACAATCAATGTCATGACAGCACAGAAGGATCAGATAATAGTCACGTCTGTGCCCAGGTCATTCCGTCCAATGGAAGAGATTGTCATCTTAAATGATTTCTCTCAGAGGGGAAAATAACGTTACAGGATTTAACAACTCGAGACATTTGGTTTTAGATATGTTTTTAATAAATATATCCTCAAACAAAATCATGTGATATTAAAGAAATGATATGAGTGTAAAGTACTATAAACCAGAGAATGTGATAAATGTAACTACCAAATGTACATTGACCATGTCCACTCCTGAAACAGTAATTACTTGTTGTTAGATGCTGTCTGTGATCGTTGTGCAGTGACTTACCGTGTCATCCCATGACATTTCATCAACACCAGTTTCAAACATAGTTTCAAATTCAAAGTTCACTCTGCTCTGAAAGAAAGAAACACTGTTAATGTACAATGATCAACAAAGATAAATAGTACTGGTAGCAATACCATCTGAAATATTCGATTTTAGATTTAATCGTTGTTCGCACGTGAGAAGATTTCAAGAGTATATTACCTTGATAAAGCTGGCAAGAAGAAGTTTATTGACGTAGACGGTCGCTGTGTGGGCGAAGTAGAAGATGAGAGGGAGGCGGAGACGGTCGGGGCATTTGTAAAACACAGACTCCTCTGCAGTGGAAAGAGGGCAGTATGTTGCACATACATATGATATTAAATCATTATCTCAAGCAAGGCATATAAAATATAGTGCCTGATGAGGGTGAGCAATGGTCAACGGTGTTAGGTCACGATGTCACACAATTAGGTAACGTATTGTAACCAGCTGACTCTAATCAGAAGGTCCTACCGACCTATTCTGTCAGTATTGGTTGTAACTTGGTTTAATTCTAATGAGCCTCTCCCTTACCTCGGGTAGGTGAGTCTAAATTAGGATTGTTACGTGTCAGGAAGCTGTTGTTAGTATATTTGTTGTGGCGAAATAATTGACGCCTTGGTAAGATGTCGAGTGCCCCGTGGCCAAATGTTAGCGGAATTCGGCGACAGTGAGTTCATCGTTCCACTTTACTGAATGACTGATAATGTCTTTTTACTTTGTAGTCCTAAAGTGACGTCATTATTTTAACCCAGATGGCATAACTTGGTACTGATAAAGTCCATCTAGTGTTGCAAAAGTAGAAATCGCCTTTGCACGTTCAGTAAGTTGAATCTGATAATGCCCCTTAAAAAAAGTCAAAGGTTTGGTTTGACCAATACTATCAAGACAGTCATCAATTATTGATATGGGGAACGAGCCGGGTTTAGATAGCGACTTCACTCGCTTCAGGCAGGTAGGTTGCAGGATGCATTTTGAACTCCATTCACTTTCATTTGGTTCGATGATGTCGTTCTGCAACATGCACTTGACTTCTTTCTAGAGATGCTCCAACTTGAGTCATGATTGAAACTTTGGAATGTTTGTCATAATTGGCGTTTATTTTGTCCTGTGATACATCCAGTAATCGTCAGAAATTTAGTTCAGAAAATAACCACAGAGTCTTGAAAAAATTCAAGCCTGATTGACCATTAAGACCTAATTAAACAACATATGCATGTCTTCATCCCACTTCTCAGTTTCAAAGCAATAAAATCGTGATCATATTTTTAAAAGTCTGGCGAAAGCCCTCCAGTTCACAGTGTCTCAGGCTGATTAGCACTAGTTTTGACCTGTCTAACTCCCAACTCATAAATGACCTCCTGAAACAACCCTGACATGAATTCGACCCTTGATCAGACTGAACTACCTTGGGTAAGACAACAATGGTTAAATACCTGATCAATCCTGGTGCACTAAGTTTCCTTAATGGAATGGCTTCAGGGAATCTGGTTGAATCGCACATAATTGTCAACAAATATTGATTACCAGACTTAGGCAAAGGACAAACACACTCAATAATGATCCGTCAAAAGGGTTCTTCAAATGCTGGTATGAGTTTCAAAGTGGGGAGGGGATTAGGTTTCCTTCCCACCTGACAAGTCTTACAAAATCCATCGCACGCATCAGGGAAATGAGCCGCACTGCCCCAAACGAAAGTCAGAAAAATCAGAAATCAAATGACCTGGCTTGCGACAATAGCTACATCTAACATATGATGACGAATATTCTGACCAACAATTCCTTCTATAAGCAGCACCTTTCAAACAGAGTCTCCTTTTTCACATTAGGATCATCTTGGATTGCCTAAATGTGCCTGTGTTGTTAGATCTACAAATCATTGTCTAAGTAAATCTCATGTATACCTCATACAATATATTTCAGTGTACTTACGAATATCTAGAAAATCGTGAAATCAAGCTTGTCATGTTTGTGTTTTACAACAAAGGCAGATATTCTGACTAAATCACTGCCGCTGAGTACCACTTTGTTCTGGCCACGACAGCCCTCAACATTTGGCTAACGCTTCAGTCATATGCTGACACTGGCAATCAGTGCAAATAAACAACCCCATAACAGGATCTGCTGGTCTTAAGGTGACAAGGTCCAAACTCTATACTTACACGCTAAAATGGTATAATTGTAATATTGCTGACTGCAATGTTAACAAACATTCACTTCTTGTGCATTAATGCATGTCACAATGTTAGAAGAGTTGGTGTTGTGTATGCATGTCACAATGTTAGGAGAGTTGGTGTTGTGTATTGATGTATATCACAATGTTAGGAGAGTTGGTGTTGTGTATATATGTCACAATGTTAGGAGAGTTGGTGTTGTGTATTGATGCATGTCACAATGTTAGGAGAGTTGGTGTTGTGTATATATGTCACAATGTTAGGAGAATTGGTGTTGTGTATGCATGTCACAATGTTAGGAGAGTTGGTGTTGTGTATATATGTCACAATGTTAGGAGAATTGGTGTTGTGTATATATGTCACAATGTTAGGAGAGTTGGTGTTGTGTATTGATGCATGTCACAATGTTAGGAGAGTTGGTGTTGTGTATTGATGTATGTCACAATGTTAGGAGAGTTGGTGTTGTGTATGCATGTCACAATGTTAGGTGAGTTGGTGTTGTGTATTGATGCATGTCACAATGTGAGGAGAGTTGGTGTTGTGTATTGATGTATGTCACAATGTTAGGAGAGTTGGTGTTGTGTATGCATGTCACAATGTGAGGAGTGTTGGTGTTGTGTATATATGTCACAATGTGAGGAGAGTTGAAGTTGTATATGCATGTCACAATGTGAGGAGAGTTGGTGTTGTGTATATATGTCACAATGTGAGGAGAGTTGGTGTTGTGTATTGATGTATGTCACAATGTGAGGAGAGTTGGTGTTGTGTATTGATGCATGTCACAATGTTAGGAGAGTTGGTGTTGTGTATTGATGCATGTCACAATGTTAGGAGAGTTGGTGTTGTGTATGCATGTCACAATGTTAGGAGAGTTGGTGTTGTGTATGCATGTCACAATGTGAGGAGAGTTGGTGTTGTGTATATATGTCACAATGTGAGGAGAGTTGAAGTTGTATATGCATGTCACAATGTGAGGAGAGTTGGTGTTGTGTATATATGTCACAATGCGAGGAGAGTTGGTGTTGTGTATGCATGTCACAATGTTAGGAGAGTTGGTGTTGTGTATGCATGTCACAATGTTAGGAGAGTTGGTGTTGTGTATGCATGTCACAACGTTAGGAGAGTTGGTGTTGTGTATGCATGTCACAATGTGAGGAGAGTTGGTGTTGTGTATGCATGTCACAATGTTAGGAGAGTTGGTGTTGTGTATGCATGTCACAATGTTAGGAGAGTTGATGTTGTGTATGCATGTCACAATGTGAGGAGAGTTGGTGTTGTGTATGCATGTCAAAATGTGAGGAGAGTTGGTGTTGTGTATGCATGTCACAATGTTAGGAGAGTTGGTGTTGTGTATGCATGTCACAATGTTAGGAGAGTTGGTGTTGTATATGTATGTCACAATGTGAGGAGAGTTGGTGTTGTGTATTGATGTATGTCACAATGTTAGGAGAGTTGGTGTTGTGTATTAATGTATGTCACAATGTTAGGAGAGTTGGTGTTGTGTATGCATGTCACGATGTTAGGAGAGTTGGTGTTGTGTATGCATGTCACAATGTTAGGAGAGTTGGTGTTGTGTATGCATGTCACAATGTGAGGAGAGTAGGTGTTGTGTATTGATGCATGTCACAATGTTAGGAGAGTTGGTGTTGTGTATTAATGTATGTCACAATGTTAGGAGAGTTGGTGTTTTGTATGCATGTTACAACGTTAGGAGAGTTGGTGTTGTGTATGCATGTCACAATGTGAGGAGAGTTGGTGTTGTGTATTGATGCATGTCACAATGTGAGGAGAGTTGGTGTTGTGTATGTATGTCACAATGTTAGGGGGGTTGGTGTTGTGTATGCATGTCACAATGTTAGGAGAGTTGGTGTTGTGTATTGATGCATGTCACAATGTTAGGAGAGTTGGTGTTGTGTATATATGTCACAATGTTAGGAGAGTTGGTGTTGTGTATATATGTCACAATGCGAGGAGAGTTGGTGTTGTGTATGCATGTCACAATGTTAGGAGAGTTGGTGTTGTGTATGCATGTCACAATGTTAGGAGAGTTGGTGTTGTGTATGCATGTCACAACGTTAGGAGAGTTGGTGTTGTGTATGCATGTCACAATGTGAGGAGAGTTGGTGTTGTGTATGCATGTCACAATGTGAGGAGAGTTGATGTTGTGTATGCATGTCACAACGTTAGGAGAGTTGGTGTTGTGTATGCATGTCACAATGTGAGGAGAGTTGGTGTTGTGTATGCATGTCACAATGTTAGGAGAGTTGGTGTTGTGTATGCATGTCACAATGTTAGGAGAGTTGGTGTTGTGTATGCATGTCACAATGTTAGGAGAGTTGATGTTGTGTATGCATGTCACAATGTTAGGAGAGTTGGTGTTGTGTATGTATGTCACAATGTGAGGAGAGTTGTTGTTGTGTATGCATGTCACAATGTTAGGAGAGTTGGTGTTGTGTATGCATGTCACAATGTTAGGAGAGTTGGTGTTGTGTATGCATGTCACAATTTGAGGAGAGTTGGTGTTGTGTATTGATGCATGTCACAATGTTAGGAGAGTTGGTGTTGTGTATTAATGTATGTCACAATGTTAGGAGAGTTGGTGTTGTGTATGCATGTCACAATGTTAGGAGAGTTGGTGTTGTGTATGCATGTCACAATGTGAGGAGAGTTGATGTTGTGTATGCATGTCACAATGTGAGGAGAGTTGGTGTTGTGTATGCATGTCACAATGTTAGGAGAGTTGGTGTTGTGTATGCATGTCACAATGTTAGGAGAGTTGGTGTTGTGTATGCATGTCACAATGTTAGGAGAGTTGGTGTTGTGTATGCATGTCACAATGTGAGGAGAGTTGGTGTTGTGTATTGATGCATGTCACAATGTTAGGAGAGTTGGTGTTGTGTATTAATGTATGTCACAATGTTAGGAGAGTTGGTGTTGTGTATGCATGTCACGATGTTAGGAGAGTTGGTGTTGTGTATGCATGTCACAATGTTAGGAGAGTTGGTGTTGTGTATGCATGTCACAATGTGAGGAGAGTTGGTGTTGTGTATTGATGCATGTCACAATGTTAGGAGAGTTGGTGTTGTGTATTAATGTATGTCACAATGTTAGGGGGGTTGGTGTTGTGTATGCATGTCACAATGTTAGGAGAGTTGGTGTTGTGTATGCATGTCACAATGTTAGGAGAGTTGGTGTTGTGTATTGATGCATGTCACAATGTTAGGAGAGTTGGTGTTGTGTATTGATGCATGTCACAATGTTAGGAGAGTTGGTGTTGTGTATGCATGTCACAATGTTAGGAGAGTTGGTGTTGTGTATGCATGTCACAATGTTAGGAGAGTTGGTGTTGTGTATGCATGTCACAATGTTAGGAGAGTTGGTGTTGTGTATGCATGTCACAATGTGATGAGAGTTGGTGTTGTGTATTGATGCATGTCACAATGTTAGGAGAGTTGGTGTTGTGTATTAATGTATGTCACAATGTTAGGAGAGTTGGTGTTGTGTATGCATGTCACGATGTTAGGAGAGTTGGTGTTGTGTATGCATGTCACAATGTTAGGAGAGTTGGTGTTGTGTATGCATGTCACAATGTGAGGAGAGTTGGTGTTGTGTATTGATGCATGTCACAATGTGAGGAGAGTTGGTGTTGTGTATTAATGTATGTCACAATGTTAGGGGGGTTGGTGTTGTGTATGCATGTCACAATGTTAGGAGAGTTGGTGTTGTGTATGCATGTCACAATGTTAGGAGAGTTGGTGTTGTGTATTGATGCATGTCACAATGTGAGGAGAGTTGGTGTTGTGTATTGATGCATGTCACAATGTTAGGAGAGTTGGTGTTGTGTATGCATGTCACAATGTTAGGAGAGTTGGTGTTGTGTATGCATGTCACAATGTTAGGAGAGTTGGTGTTGTGTATGCATGTCACAATGTGAGGAGAGTTGGTGTTGTGTATGCATGTCACAATGTTAGGAGAGTTGGTGTTGTGTATGCATGTCACAATGTTAGGAGAGTTGGTGTTGTGTATGCATGTCACAATGTTAGGAGAGTTGGTGTTGTGTATGCATGTCACAATGTGAGGAGAGTTGGTGTTGTGTATTGATGCATGTCACAATGTTAGGAGAGTTGGTGTTGTGTATTAATGTATGTCACAATGTTAGGAGAGTTGGTGTTGTGTATGCATGTCACGATGTTAGGAGAGTTGGTGTTGTGTATGCATGTCACAATGTTAGGAGAGTTGGTGTTGTGTATGCATGTCACAATGTGAGGAGAGTTGGTGTTGTGTATTGATGCATGTCACAATGTTAGGAGAGTTGGTGTTGTGTATTAATGTATGTCACAATGTTAGGGGGGTTGGTGTTGTGTATGCATGTCACAATGTTAGGAGAGTTGGTGTTGTGTATGCATGTCACAATGTTAGGAGAGTTGGTGTTGTGTATTGATGCATGTCACAATGTTAGGAGAGTTGGTGTTGTGTATTGATGCATGTCACAATGTTAGGAGAGTTGGTGTTGTGTATGCATGTCACAATGTTAGGAGAGTTGGTGTTGTGTATGCATGTCACAATGTTAGGAGAGTTGGTGTTGTGTATGCATGTCACAATGTGAGGAGAGTTGGTGTTGTGTATTGATGCATGTCACAATGTTAGGAGAGTTGGTGTTGTGTATTAATGTATGTCACAATGTTAGGAGAGTTGGTGTTGTGTATGCATGTCACGATGTTAGGAGAGTTGGTGTTGTGTATGCATGTCACAATGTTAGGAGAGTTGGTGTTGTGTATGCATGTCACAATGTGAGGAGAGTTGGTGTTGTGTATTGATGCATGTCACAATGTGAGGAGAGTTGGTGTTGTGTATTAATGTATGTCACAATGTTAGGGGGGTTGGTGTTGTGTATGCATGTCACAATGTTAGGAGAGTTGGTGTTGTGTATGCATGTCACAATGTTAGGAGAGTTGGTGTTGTGTATTGATGCATGTCACAATGTGAGGAGAGTTGGTGTTGTGTATTGATGCATGTCACAATGTTAGGAGAGTTGGTGTTGTGTATGCATGTCACAATGTTAGGAGAGTTGGTGTTGTGTATGCATGTCACAATGTTAGGAGAGTTGGTGTTGTGTATGCATGTCACAATGTTAGGAGAGTTGGTGTTGTGTATGCATGTTACAATGTTAGGAGAGTTGGTGTTGTGTATGCATGTCACAATGTTAGGAGAGTTGGTGTTGTGTATTGATGCATGTCACAATGTTAGGAGAGTTGGTGTTGTGTATTGATGCATGTCACAATGTTAGGAGAGTTGGTGTTGTGTATGTATGTCACAATGTTAGGGGGGTTGGTGTTGTGTATGCATGTCACAATGTTAGGAGAGTTGGTGTTGTGTATGCATGTCACAATGTTAGGAGAGTTGGTGTTGTGTATGCATGTCACAATGTTAGGAGAGTTGGTGTTGTGTATGCATGTCACAATGTTAGGAGAGTTGGTGTTGTGTATTGATGTATGTCACAATATTTGGAGAGTTGGTGTTGTGTATTGATGCATGTCACAATGTTAGGAGAGTTGGTGTTGTGTATGTATGTCACAATGTTAGGGGGGTTGGTGTTGTGTATGCATGTCACAATGTTAGGAGAGTTGGTGTTGTGTATGCATGTCACAATGTTAGGAGAGTTGGTGTTGTGTATGCATGTCACAATGTTAGGAGAGTTGGTGTTGTGTATTGATGTATGTCACAATGTTAGGGGGGTTGGTGTTGTGTATTGATGCATGTCACAATGTTAGGAGAGTTGGTGTTGTGTATTGATGCATGTCACAATGTTAGGAGAGTTGGTGTTGTGTATGCATGTCACAATGTTAGGAGAGTTGGTGTAGTATATAAATGGATGTCACAATGTTAGGAGAGTTGGTGTTATGTATGCATGTCACAATGTGAGGAGAGTTGGTGTTGTGTATTAATGCATGTCACAATGTGAGGAGAGTATGTGTTGTGTATATATGTCACAATGTTAGGAGAGTTGGTGTTGTGTATATATGTCACAATGTTAGGAGAGTTGGTGTTGTGTATGCATGTCACAATGTTAGGAGAGTTGGTGTTGTGTGTTGATGCATGTCACAATGTTAGGAGAGTTGGTGTTGTGTATGCATGTCACAATGTTAGGAGAGTTGGTGTTGTGTATTAATGCATGTCACAATGTTAGGAGAGTTGGTGTTGTGTATGCATGTCACAATGTTAGGAGAGTTGGTGTTGTGTATTAATGCATGTCACAATGTGAGGAGAGTTGGTGTTGTGTATGCATGTCACAATGTTAGGAGAGTTGGTGTTGTGTATATATGTCACAATGTTAGGAGAGTTGGTGTTGTGTATGCATGTCACAATGTTAGGAGAGTTGGTGTTGTGTATTAATGCATGTCACAATGTGAGGAGAGTTGGTGTTGTGTATGCATGTCACAATGTGAGGAGAGTTGGTGTTGTGTATGCATGTCACAATGTGAGGAGAGTTGGTGTTGTGTAGCATGTCACAATGTGAGGAGAGTTGGTGTTGTGTATTGATGTATGTCACAATGTTAGGAGAGTTGGTGTTGTGTATGCATGTCACAATGTGAGGAGAGTTGGTGTTGTGTATGCATGTCACAATGTTAGGAGAGTTGGTGTTGTGTATGCATGTCACAATGTTAGGAGAGTTGGTGTTGTGTATGCATGTCACAATGTTAGGAGTTGGTGTTGTGTATGCATGTCACAATGTTAGGAGAGTTGGTGTTGTGTATGCATGTCACAATGTTAGGAGAGTTGGTGTTGTGTATTAATGTATGTCACAATGTGAGGAGAGTTGGTGTTGTGTATATATATCACAATGTGAGGAGAGTTGGTGTTGTGTATGCATGTCACAATGTTAGGAGAGTTGGTGTTGTGTATGCATGTCACAATGTTAGGAGAGTTGGTGTTGTGTATGCATGTCACAATGTTAGGAGAGTTGGTGTTGTGTATATATGTCACAATGTTAGGAGAGTTGTGGTTGTGTGTGTATGCATATGACAGTTCTGAGGATAGTTGGTGATGTGTGCATGTCACAATTTTATAATTGGCATAGTTACCTTTGAGTGCCGTGAAGAGGCTTTCGTTCAAGTCATAGCTGTTCTCGAAGTAAAGCTTGATCTCTCTAAAAGTATAAAATACTTGGGGTGAAACCACGGATCACAAAAGGGTCTTCATTTCGTTAAGATTTACACACACTAAGACACAATGATATATCTTCTCACACACACATACTCGCGCGCGCATACACACACTAAGAACGTCATTGTGACAGATTCACACAGAGTAGGATACTCTCTTAACCATACTTACACACTCAGATCTACATACACCAGGATGTTCACTATGACACCTTACACATTCAGATCTTCACAATGACAGATCTACACACACTAGGATGTTCACTATGACACCTTACACATTCAGATCTTCACTATGACAGATCTACATACACTAGGATGTTCACTATGACACCTTACACATTCAGATCTTCACTATGACAGATCTACATACACTAGGATGTTCACTATGACACCTTACACATTCAGATCTTCACAATGACAGATCTACATACACTAGGATGTTCACTATGACACCTTGCACATTCAGATCTTCACTATGACAGATCTACATACACTAGGATGTTCACTATGACGCCTTACACATTAAGATCTTCACTATGACAGATCTACATACACTAGGATGTTCACTATGACGCCTTACACATTCAGATCTTCACTATGACAATCTAACTGGTAACAAATCAGGTGCTACGACCGTGACAGATGCACGTGCATGAACCGGCGTGGGTACAACGGGACAGCGCGTGACATGTATTATTACAAACAATGGATATGGATACCCTAACATACACTGGCTTCTGGCACGGAGACTGTTATAGATGTTAGTACATTGTAGTACCCGTCATTAAGATGATAATACTCATTGCATATGTAGTAGATCTAAAATACTATGTTAAATTACATACACACATTGCATACATACACACATTGCCTGCCCCTCTAATTCACACTACCATACACACCTACATACCTACACACACGCACACACCGCCAATATGATATATCTACACACACCAGGGTATATAGATCCCCCTCGCTGACAGAAGTATATATGGGGCATATCGATATGTAAAACTCACTCCTTAGAACAGGTCGACAAATCCAGAGGTTTCAGTGAGGTGAAGGTCAGTTCACCGTTCAGTATTTTTGTCATCATCCTTCAGCACTGACGTTCACCTGTAACACAACCGAAGGTGTTGACATCGCACTTTTTTCTCAAGCCTTGAGATAAAACACACATCAAAACTGGAGAATTAATTGTAATCATTTGTCTTCAACTATAGAAAATCGACGTCCATGTGCTTTAAACAATTACATGTAATGAACAACAATATTTTAGCAATGTTAATATTTTGCAGCCAGAATCGTTGCCGAGGCTCGCAAACGTGTAGCTTTTAAAAGACTTGCCGGAAAATGGATGAGAGACAGCGTGATCTTTGTAAAGAAACTTGAGGAAGCTGTCTCACTTATCACAAAACAATCTCAGTTTGGTCGAGACATGGACTCCTTAAAACTGAAAATGTAAATCCGATAGTCACAAGAGAACAGTCAGTTTGCTGACAGCCCCGACGGTGATGGTTAATAACGCACTATTTGTGTAAATATCTATCCTCGTGAAAGTATTAATTGTCATGACCACGAAAGAGTATTAATTTTCGTAACTGCGTGCCTCTGTTTACTCTGTTACTATCGGTAACATGCCGGTTTTACCGCCCACTGGTAGATAATTAGGGCATTGCCTTTATTGAATTGGTCATTGCCATGCACATCGCTTTCCATGTAAAAGGGGTTTTATATATAAAACATGGGGTACTTTTCGGTGGGATACAGCAACAGCCTGTTTTACCTTTTTGGTGTGTTTTTTTATAGTTATCTATTCATTCATAATACGGAATAATCTATCTTTCTACCCATTGCCTTAACTGCTCAAGGTTGTTTTGTCACTTCATTGACACATCTGCCTCCATAGTTCTTCCTTTGCTCGGAAAGCTAATTATTTTTTGGTTTCTTTGAATCTCAAAACACTGTGGTAGGTACCAAAACAAATACAAACAAAGTCAAGTACAGTATGATAAAAACAACAACCAATTCTCACCCTACTGTTTATAATTTTCGATGTGGGTTGATACTGTTTTTTCCATTGTGAATAAGGTAAAGACTTCAGGGATAGAATTGATATTAATATATATTATCTTTTTTTAAGAGTATTAATTTACCTGTTTTGTGTGAGAATAATACAGATATCACTTGTATTGTTGCTTTGTTGTGGGGAAATACATCCACATCACCTGTACCATTATCGGGCTTAGTAAAGTCATAGTTATCTTATAACACCAAATTCCTATTAGAAAATATATATCAATCAACTTATATCTGTAAACTAATCTGACTAAAGTAAATTCAATGTAGATAACGCACTAACTGACCGCCGCATACAAGATATTTTATGTTTCACATATGCGGCTAAACACACGGTCACTCGAGCTGTGAGCCCATTGTGCAAGTCTGTCCAGCCAGGCTGACACAAAGGGTCATTCTCTCAGGGAACCAGTGATAAGTGTGTTGACTTCAATCTCATAATCTTAAATAATGACACAACCATCCATAGTTACAGCCGATCAACCGCTGATACCTTGGAAGTTGTGATCTTTAGTTATGTAACTTAATGAAGCCCTGAGTTGTATAAATACGGCAGTCGGTGGTAGCAACTTCAGTTGTGTCACAGGTCTCGTACTGTACACAACCCTCCGCGCCCACCAAGCTCGGTTCGCTCACCAGCTTAAACTGCACGGTCGTCAATCACCCAGGTCCCTGGGACTGACAAATATGAACTTTGAAATGGAGATGTCCAGAAATTACAATTGTTGAGAGTCCGCCCAGCCCAATTGAAGGGAACCCCTTCACTATGGTCACCAGAAAAACTGCCTTGGCAACAAAGGAGGAAGACACGACAGCTGTACCTAATACAAATATGGAATCAAACCTTGAAACACAAGTAATCTTCCTAAAACAGGCAAATGGCAATGAATTACGCATACCCAATATATACCACAAGGTTACCCATGAAACAAACACGGAAGAGCTAACGAGACTTGCTCAAATAGTAGGAAAAAATGGGATAATCCTTGGTCACCTTGATGCCAACAGTCCCTTATGGGAAGACAGAAATGATATATGCAAATAGGGCAAAATGGTAGAGAAATGGGGTGAAGACGACAATCTCAAAACGCTGATCTGATCTTTTTTGCCAAAATCTCACCTCAGCAATTATTGCCGCAGCTGAAAAATCAATTCCCCCCCCCCTAAAAGGAACACAAAACTGACAAAACTCCGGTACCATGGTAGAACAGGGAAATAGGAAAAGCTTGGAGAGTGAGAAAGAAAGTCCTAAATAGGTAAAAAAGGGATACATCAGCCTTTGCCCAAGTCCGAGCAGCCAGGACAAAAGTAAGACAGCTCACAGACGAATCTAAAAAAAGAGTCATGGCAGACCTTCTGCAAATCTCTCATGGATAAAACAAATCATAAAACAGTCTGGAGAAGAATACACGCAATCAAGGGTAAGCGTAAACCTCCAAAAATTCCCAAATTAGCCAACATCCATACAGCCAAAGAAAAGGCCAACATTCTAGCCGAGCATTTCCCAACCGTCAGCTGTTGCAAAACTTGCAGCAAACAATTCAAACAGGAAAAAATGCTATGCTTAAGATATCAAAACAGCCGCAAGGCAAGCATCTGGTATACAATGTCATTCACTGTGACGGAGTTTGATGACATAGAACATAGAAAAGGCACAGCACCCCGTCTTGACACAACTAGTTACGAGATATGGAAAAACCTACCTGATCAATCCAAAAGCTTACTCACTGAGTTGGATAACACGATATGGTCCAAAGGAGAAGTCCCAAAAGCTTGGAAACATGTTGCAGTTATCCCGCTTCTAAAGCAAGGGAAAGACGAAGCCCTACCAAAGGATTATAAGCCCAATCATGAGCAATGATCTTTTTCATCATATCAACTCTCCTACCCAAACTTCTAAATTAGCTGATGACGGAGCAATATGGGTAAAGCACACAGATATTTCACAAATCCGAAATATCAGCCCTGGACGGAGTAGTCAGCCCTGGACGGAGTAGATCAATGGTGCTCTAAGTGGGGTTTACCCTTTCAAGTGAAAAAACTGTCGGGGTGCTATTCAAACGCGGGGAGGGGGGGGGGGGGGGGGGGGGGGGGGATGTTATGATAACCCGTGTCTCCATAAAAGGCAAACCAATCAAATTCGAACAATCCGCAATATTTCTTGTGGCGATCCTTGATCAACACCTCACTTGGCGCAAATTTATAGAATATGTGGAAAACAGATGTCAAATCTTGGGGCACATCGAGGGACACTCAGCTGGTCCTCTACAAATCACTTATCAGATCAAAAATAGACTGTGGTTGTGAGGCCAGCATCAAATACTGTCTTGAGCCGCCTCGACAGAATACAATACAAAACCCTAATGCTGGTCACAGGTGCAGCAACAGGCACTTCACTAGAAGCTCTACGAGTAGAAACAGGAGAACTCCCATTGAAACTAAGAAGAGAGCGGGCAATAGTATTCTAGGGCCGAACATCAAACCCTTTGGTGAAAAAGACATGGCGAGACAAAAACACCCGAGATGAATCCCTAGCTCAGAAAAATACCCCACTAAAGCCATCTGGGATCATCCGAAGTCACAATTGTGGTGGCAATCAGCCACCAGAAAGTTTACACCCACGCTAAAAAAAACCAAAGTTGACACTGCTGTAACATCAGAAGTCACTAAAAAAGAAAACCCATCCCTACTAGGCTACTACGATCAGTAGCTATCACTAAACTTCAAACTACCTTGGACAGCTATGCCCATATATACACTGATGGATCCAAGAATCCTATCAACATCAGTGCTGGTTACGGGATCCATATCCTAAGTTCCAAACCCCAAGCACATTCAGTTCGCCTGCCTGATTGTCAGTCAGTATTCACTGCTAAATTGGAGGCAATTCATCATGCACTCATACAGGAACTACCGGAAGCAAAGACAGTCGTCCTATCGTTAGTCGACTCGTTAAATACACTTCAAGCCATCAGTGGCAGAAACTCCAGGCCAAACAGTCAATAATATTCTATATGAATATACAAAACTATCGGACCGAGGGCAACAGACCGAGCTGTGTTGGATCCCCTTTCACATAGATATTCATGGAAATGAAAAGGCAGACACACTGGCGAAGATGGCGCTAGACAAAGCGGAGATACAGCCTATTCCCTTCTGTAAACTGGAGACAAAAAGCAAAATCAAAGCCTCAATAGCCCAAAGATGGCAAGCCCAGTCGGACGAAAGTAAGATCGGCAGATACAAATTCAACCCAAGATCCACCAAAAGCCAAACTCATACTCAAATGAAACTGAAAGTTGAAATTGCCATCTCACGCCTCAGACGCGGTCACAAAAAGCACTTTGACAAGGTTTATTCATCTTGCAATCAGGCTGAATCCATTGCTCTCTTGTTACTTGAATGTCAAGACCACGCCCCAGCGTTAAAACAAGAATTGCAGTTAGATCCGCTATCTGTCATAGATCTCCTAAAGCCAAGAGATGCAATAGCGAAGGCCAAACTAACTCTATTTCTGAGAGATGGACAGCTACTCGAACGTATATAAACAGAGCAACCAAAGATATAATGAAATTATATCAATATAAGAAAATAGAAATCATATCAATACAAAAGGAGAAATTAAGTGAATACCAAACTAACAGATATGTGTACCCTTCTCTCACACACCAAAGAGAGACAGGTCAGCCGAAATTACTAAGGCTGAAGGCGACCTTCCGCCGGCTCAACGCCAACAATTCAGCAGCCTTCTTTGTTTTTCAAAGTGATGGCCGGTAAATGCAAAATGGCAGAAAATACACAGAAAATTTAGAATTTACTAATAATACATCGTGTGGTAGTAAAACATCTATCACATCTAATTCCACTAAATATATCAGCCACTAGCACATAAGAAACCAGGCGATCCAATATAATCAAAGCACTAAAATATGCAAAAGATCATTTCTGCTATCTGTAGTGCATGACTGGAATATGTTGAATGACCCCTTTCTGCCTACTTAATCTTTATCCCAGTTCGAATGGAAAGATTCTTATCA